TGTACTTCTTTTATAGAGTTGGGTCTCTCCAAATCTTGGATTGCTTTGATTTGGGAGGGGTCTACTTCTATACCACGGTTGGTCACGAGGAAGCCCAGGAATTTGCCTGATCCTACTCCGAATGCACACTTGGACGGATTGAGGCGCAACTTGTGCTTCTTCAGGATCTCAAACACCTCGCCTAGGTCCTTAAGATGGTCATTCTCATCCTTGCTCTTGACCACCATGTCGTCAATGTAAGCTTCCATTGTTCTGCCTAACAATGGTTCAAACATCTTGGTGACCATCCGTTGGAATGTTGCCCCTGCGTTCTTCAGGCCAAAGGGCATGACCTTGTAACAGTATAGTCCTCTTGGAGTTGTAAAAGATGTGACCTCCTGGTCTGGTTCATGCATGGCGATTTGGTGATAGCCTCTGTATGCATCCAGAAAGCTAAGTCGGTTGTGCCCCACCGTTAGGTCCACCAGTTGATCTATCCGTGGTAAAGGAAAGCTGTCTTTTGGGCACGCCTTGTTGACTGTTTTGTAGTCGACGTAGACGCGCCACTTGCCATTCTTCTTCGGTACCACAACAGTGTTGGAGATCCATCTTGGGTAGTGCACTTCTCTAATTGTTCCTGCCTCCAGCAGGTTACCTACTTCTTCGGCCACTATTTCGGCATGGTGAAGTGCCGATCTGTGAGTGCACTGAATAACCGGCCTGGCGGATGGGTGGACATTGAGTTGGTGACTGATGAAGTTTGGATCAATGCCTGGCATGTCGTAGGGTGGCTAGGCAAACACTTCGATGTTAGAGGTCAAGAATTCCAAGACCTTTAATCTCTTAGTGCTGGACAACGACGAGCCAAGCAAGAAGAACTTATCCGGGTTCTTCTCATCTATTTTTACCCCCACCAAGTCCTCTACCGCTTTTTGATCAGCCTCTTTGCCGACGTCCGCGAATAGTTCATTGCTTTTAGGTTCCTCCACCGAATGAACGTATCCTTTGGCAGCGCGGCTGCCATTTACCGTGGCGAAACATTGTTTTGACATGATCTGATCTCCATAGACTTCTTCAATTATACCGGTGTCGTTGGGGAACCGCATTACCTGGTGGTAGGATGACGCCACCGAACGCATGGCGTGCAGCCATGTTCGGCCCAAGATGATGTTGTAAGTGGAGGGGACCTTCAGTACTCAGAACTCCACTTGTTTTGTTACGCTTCCTGCTCTGACTGGAAGAATTATTTTGCCGACGGGCCATTCTGGCATGAAGTTGAATCCAATTAGGGGAGATACTGCAGGTGCCAAGTCTTTGTCTTGTAGCTTCAGTTGTTTAAATGTTTCGTAGTACATGATCTCATATGAACTACCCTGGTCAATCAGAATCCACTTGACGTCAAAATCCTTGACTCGGAGAGTGATAACCAGAGCATCATTGTGAGGACAGCATATTCGATCCAAGTCCTTATCTGAAAAAGACATGATGTTTGTTACCTCTGTCTTTCCCTTCTTGATGGCAGGTTGGGCACTTAACACCTTTCTAAAGTGCTCGGCCTTTTTGATTGATCCCCCCTTGGCAGCGCGGCTGCCATTAACCGTGACAAAGCATTGCTTGGACATAATCTGGTCTCCAAAGACCTCTTCAATTACCCCGACATTATTGGGGAACCGCATTACTTGATGGTAGGATGATGCTACTGATTTCATGGCATGGAGCCATGTTCTTCCCAAGATTATGTTGTAAGTGGAAGGAACCTTTAATACCCAAAATTCCACTTGTTTTGTCATGCTCCCTGTCCTGACTGGCAGGATAATTTTGCCGATTGGCCATTCTGGCATTGAGTTGAATTCGATTAGGGGGGATACTGCTAGTGCCAGATCTTTGTCCTCTAATTTCAGTTGTTTGAAGGTGTTGTAGTACATTATCTCACACGAGCTACCTTGGTCTATCAAAATTCGTTTGACGTCGTAATCCTTGATGCGGAGGGTGGCAACCAGTGCATCGTTGTGAGGGCAATATATTCTTTTGAAGTCTTTGTCTGAAAAAGACATGACGTTCTTGGCCTCTGTTCTCCCCTTTTTGATGGTAGGTTGGGCACTTAGTACCTCCCTTAAGTGCTCAGCCTTCTTGATCGATCCTCTGAGCTTGCATACACGCTCAGGTTCGAATACTCCATGTATCACATTGATCACACCTTGAGGTGGGGCGTCAATTGGCATTCCATTGGGGTTATTGTGGTCTTGGGGGATTGGTTGCGTTCCTCTTTCAATGTATTTATCCAGGTGACCGGCAGCCACTAACTCCTCCAGATGCTGTCTCAATGGCATGTGATTTTCAGTGCGGTGCCCCTTTTCTTTGTGAAAGGTGCATCGCGATCTTTTGTCGTAGTCTTTCTGTGCTTCTCCTAGCTTAGCTGGCCATCTGACGAAAGGTTCATCGCGTATTTCGCTCAGAATCCGATAGATCGGTTTCTTAAATACCGTGGTTATGGCAGTGCGGACTCTCAACCATCTTTTGTCCTGGTCCTCTCCGTTGTCTCGCCTGCCTCGTTCGTTTTTGTTCGGACGTTCTACTGCGTTGATCTTTGCTGTGGTCTTTTTATCTGGTACTACGGTCGTGCCAGATTTTGTTTTGGCGCGGGCGCCATCCTCTTCCACCCTGATGTGCTGATGAACTCTTTCCATCAAGGCTTCCATGGTGAGGGGTGGTGTCATGGTGATTGAGTCCCTTAGTCTGTTTCCAACTGGAAGGCCTCTTTTGTACTGTGCAATGGCGAGATTGGTGGGGCAGTCCCCAATCTGGTTGAATGTCTCCCAGTAACGACTATTGTAGGATCTTAGTGTCTCCTTTTCGCCCATGTCGATGGAGAGTAACTGGTCAATCTCCACTGGGGTTTTAGTGTTTGTTCTGAACCTTGTGACGAACGCCTCCGCCAATTGTGCCAAGGAGGCTATGCTGCCTTCTGGAAGTTTTTCGAACCAAGTCAAGCCTAGGTCACCAAGGCTTGATGGAAAGAGAATGCACATCAAAGCCTCGTTTCACCGATATATCGCCATAACCTGGCGGAAGTGGCTTAGGTGTATATAGGGGTCCGTCTTTCCCTCGTACGTGGTGAATTTGGGCTGAAGGAAGCCTGAAGGTAGGGGCGCGTTTTCTATTGTCGGAACGAACGGCAAGGTCTGCACCCTTGCTAATGCTTTGTCCGTTGGTTCGTAGGCAGGGCGCGGTACTGGCATTCCAACCTAGACGCTTCCATGCGTTTGAGGAACCAACCGCTGAAGGGCAAATACCCTGCGAGGGTCGCGCGCCTTAGTATCCTCCTTCAATCGTGCCCTTTCTTCTAGCATGATCCGCAAATCGGATGATCTTGGCAACTCCGTCTGCCTAGATGATGTCTGGTGCGAGCGCGAGGGTTGGTAGGTACTTCCCTCAGTGTAAGACCTCAATGATCTCGTTCTCTCAGACCTGGAGTAACGAGTTCTGGAGGTTCTGGATTGAGTATCGCCTGTCCTGAGGCTTCTACTCTCTACTTGTGATGGTGTGGAATGCCTTCCAAGGTCTTCTGAGCGGCGAGGGGGCGTCTTGCTTTTGCGCCCCTCTCCTGTCGCCACTCATTTTCCCTTCATTTGGCGCTTCATGGCCTCCATGTCCGCCGCTATCTTCCTTATTAATTCATCTTGCTCCTTCACGCGGTCCTCCAGAACTTGAGGATCAATCCTCCGCCTTTGTCTGTCAGAACTTTGGGAACGAGAATGACGGGGGCTGTTAGTCCGCCTCTTCCCCCTTGCATCCCTCTTGGGATTCTGTCGCTGTGGCTCCAAGTCTGCCATGGGAGGGATAGAAGGTAGGCCTTCGCGCCTTGCACCCCCCTCTGGTGTTTGTCCGTCGATGGCGGACTGCGGCAAATCTTCGTTGTGCGCCATTACTTCTAAAGTCAGCAAACTTGACAAATAGACAAAGCTCAATGTATTCAGAAAGCAAAATTGTGTGTTGTGTTACCTCCTCCAAGGTGATGTTTGTGAGCTTTTATAGGTTTCGAATGGCACAATCCTAGTAGGACTTTTATTTCTCCATGCAGAGTCCTCCTAGGATTCGTACTCCTAAAGGATAATGCTTATCCTTTTACACTCCCCCCACTGCTTAAACCAAGTGGGATGGTTTTTACCATGGCCGGACTACAATTTGACCGAAGTACCCATGGCTATGTATAGTCGCAGAATAAGCCGAACTAGTTCTTCCTTTCATTTCTCTTACATCGACTTCTCACATACAGCACATGGCATGGTTGGACCGAACTAACAAAACGCGACCGGTATAACCCCAAGACCGGTCTAACTCAAAGGTACCGCTAGATCGACCTATTCAAAATACATCATGACCGGACTGACTCTGAGACCGGCCTAGCTCCAAATTGCCCGGACCGAAATAGCTTTACAATTCTTCAGCCGAAGTAACTTCATCTCTTTCGGCCGGAGTAACTTTATCTCTCTTGGGTCGAAGTAACTTCTCGGCCCTTTCTACCCAGTCCGTACTTTGGGCCATAAAGTCCACTTCATAGCTCGGCCCAATTTTTATCAAAATTACCCTCTCACCCTCTCATCATATATGTATTTTTGAAGCAGCAATGCTAGGTATCATAAAAAACATTTCATGAAAATAATCATGAAAACTTCGAGACCCTTGAATTGCACTTAGCCCTTGAATTGCACTTAGAATAAAACACCACACACTAATCAGGTAATCAAATAATCATAAATCTTTCATGATTATTTTCATGAAATTTTTTTTATGATCCCTAACTTTTCTCTTTTCGAAGGCAAGACAAATCTTTTTTTTCTTTCCAATTTCATTTTCTCATGTACATGCAATCAAACCTCTAATAATAGAGGCACCAATAATTTATGCAACAACACACCGGAGCCAAGAAAGCGTATACATATATCATTCATTAAGCAAAAATATCCGAACACATCAAGGCAACAACGCCAAAGTAGAAACAGAAAGTGCAAAGGCCTACCAGACATCAAAAGTGTGCATTTTATTCATTAAAAAAAAGGCATCTACAGAACCGAAATTCATCCAAAATTCAGTCCAAGGAACATGGAATCATTTCCACTTCTTGAACTTTCCACGCCCAAACATCCCGTGCTTTCCGCGCTTGCCAAATTTCCCATGCTTGAACTTCCCGTGCTTGAATTTCCCATGACCATGGCCGTGTGGAAAGTAACCACCATGCCCAAGATGGTGACCACCGTGTGTCATATTGTGTGCACCATAAGCAGCTGCAGCCCCAGCAATGAGCCCACCAATGCCAGCAGGTCCAGGAACTGAAAATAGGATGTCCAACAACTTAGTAACATCAGCATCAGTAAAAATTTCTTATTGTGTATAAAAATATCTGATAAATCACTCCTCACTTAACCTTTGAATTGTAGAACATATTTAGACAAATGAACATATATATATATATATATAGGAATGAGCACACCTACATTTTGATCAGAGTTACTTGTAATGAGAGTTGATGTTTTATAGTTGTTTGGCACCCATGCCTTGCCAACACCACTGATTCCCGTGCTATGTTACCTAGAACGTTGATCATTCTGGTACATAGAACGGGAATAAAAACGTAATACATACATTCTCTAGAATATTATATGATAGGAGTTACTTGTGTAGATTACAATATAAAAATTTAAATTATACATTTTGATGATTTGTCTTATCAAAACTTCACTCATATGAGGTTTTAATTCAGAATATTTGATTTTCTTGTACTTCTTAAGAAATCTTTAGGAAATATCTTGAAAAATACTTTTGGAATCATTTTAGATTGTTTAATTTATCATTTTCGATCGAAAGTGTACCATATTTCGGAATATGTGTACTAAAAACATAATCCCTAGGGTATTTATGTTTTTTGGTAACATTGTTCCCGTGTAACATGAAATTTTGAGATTAAGTTCTCAATTTTGTTTAAAATTTCCAACAGAAATAACATTGATGACATGTTTGTGGAGGGCTAGAGAGCTTGCTAATCATGAAATGGTTTGTATAACACAATTTGGAAAACCATACCTCCATGATGATGAGGAGCAGATGGACCAGGATAACCAGCTGGAGGGTATCCTCCAGGGGGATATCCAGACGGTGGGTAGCCTTGTTGTGGCGGATATCCTGCTGGTGGGTAGCCTTGAGGCGGATATCCCCCTGGCGGGTGGCCATGTGGTGGATATCCTTGTGGTGGATAGCCTTGTGGAGGGTATCCCCCGGGTGAAGGGTATCCCCCAGGTGAAGGGTAGTGACCTGGAGGAGGATGATGTCCTGCTGCACCACCAACAGCATGAGCAAGATGTGAGAAAATCCCTTTTTCATCATGGTGTCTCTCGTCGTCCTTCCCCATTGTTTTGAAGACACAAAAAATCACTACTTCCTAAGAGACCTGGAATAACACATTAGATTCAATCCAACAAAGTAAGTACATCAGATTTATTGAATCACAAGTAGCATACAGACCCAAATCACTACTTATTCAACCTAAGAGTAACCATTTTAATCAACAAGTCACTATAAATTGTCACATCACTCTCTCTATTTTTCTGCATATTTTTTCATGAAAAGTTAAAAAATTACTAAAATAGTTTATTCTCAAACGAAACCTAAGTCTTAGAATAGACCCTTTGTCAATCAACCCAAAAAATCAAATGCTACTATTTCTGCCCTATTTAAACATTAGAACTTCAAGAAAATGAGCCAAAAAGAAACCTAAATGATTGACAACATTACCCCATAATTCAATGTCAAAAAGAAAAGATGTTCTTCCGCTATAAATGGATTTTTTCTTTTATTTTCTTTCAACCCCAAAAGAGATATGCATAGACTTGAATCTAACCAGTGGACGAAGAACCTCAAAGAAAATAAACAGAATGAAAAAACTACAAAGAACCAAGAAAAATGACAACACCAAGCAGGATGACTCAAAAAAGAAAAAATAATAAAACATCGGTAGTTATTTCCCCAAAGCAGAAAACAAAATTTAACCATATCCAAATAAAAGATTTCTCAATCTGTGCCCAAACATATAACAATACAGTTGAGGGCAGAGCTATAATTCTTGAATTGGGTTGGGGGCAGAGTGAGTGAATTAAAATAACAAATAAAAAATTAGGGCTTTTTCAATATTTTTTTATTCATTTAAAGGGAGGGCCTCATCCCCCTGCCCATGTATACACTACTACAAACTCAATTTCATCTTTATTTATCCATTTATTTATGTAGTCTAATTCCAATAAATTCATGTGCTTCAATTGAGGGAAGTGGTAGAAGCCACAAAACACACATTACAAAACCAATTCCAAAGAAATGAACATACAATTTGTAGGGTTGAGAGACTTGAGAGACAAGATTTCAAAGGAACAAAAAAATAATAAAAACTACTAGTAAGAACATAATTCAGAAGACAAATCCATTTTTCTACCGATATATATATATACTAACTAATGGTGGGTGCAAACGTAATATATTTGCAATTTTACATCTAAATTTTTTAACAAATTGATAAGTTCAATAAATAATGAAGATGGTTTGAATTTGTTATTGTTAGTAGTTAATGATTCATCTACACAAATTTTGTTCTTACTTTTACCGATACGAATCTCATTCAGGGGATTCAAGGTGAAAAAATTGTGAATGAATTATTAGTCTTCTATTATAAACATGTGGCATTTATTTGATGGGTATCATTAAATTATTAAAAAAAAAAAGCGGTGACAGTTTATGTGCTTCATATTAAAAATTAAAAAACAAATTAAAAGACATTAAAAGCTCAGAAATCCGTTTGGGTAGAGAGAAAATGGTAAGATGAGAAAGAAATGGAAGTTGTAGATCTTGAAATTGTAGCAAAGCCGAAACCCAAGACATAACAAACCTATTTGGGAGAGTTGAGTCGAGTTTTTTCGATTGAGAGCATTACATTCAATTTTCTTTTCTTTCCCTCCAAATTCTCGACAACCAAACACAGGTTAATTTTGTTACCACAAAACCCAAAGAAAGACACAAAAGTATTGATCTTTGCTATCCCAAACAAACATACAAAATCGCCATAAAAATCAGACATGCTTATTACAATTCGACGAACAAACAAGAGAGAGAGAGAGAGAGAGAGAGAGAGAGGGCTTACGAGGTTTCCTTGGAGGCTATTATTACATGCATGAAGGAAAACGTGTGTGTCTATATATATACTTTCTTCTCTCTCTCTCTCTCTCTCTCTGTGCGTTTGTGTTTTCCATTCTAGTCATCAATTTAGACCCGAACACGTATCTAGCGCCTCTGCCGACACGTGTCCATTGATTTTGGATTTTGGAGACTCTTCCATTTTAAGCACCGTTTAACTTTATTCGCTTGTTACTTTTCAAGGAGGAGGCTTCTTTTCTTTTCATTGGGTGTCCGAGAGAGGTTTATATTCAACACGGTTAACTAGCATCTATGTTAATCAATATTATATGGAGTTCGTTACATAATTTTATCAATATTCTGTATTTTTATAATAAATATTATATAATTTTTGTTAAGAGTTATAATAATTTGTGATTCAAAAATAAAATTATTCATAATATGATAGCGTTACGTATTTTTCTAGTAATCTTACATATCTTTTTATTTAAATATTTTTTAACTAAAAAATGTGTAATAATATCATAAAATACATAATATTATCACAAAATATATAATTTTATTTTTAAATCACAAATTATCACAATTTGTTCCAATAAAAGATACAACATTTACTATAAAAATACGTAAATATACTATAAAAATACATAATAAAGGTGAATTTCCCGAGATTGTAATCTATTGTCATACTTTATTATGTATTCTATTGACATTTACGGTAATGCAACCATTAAAAGACAATGCTATAAGCTCGAAGTGCATTATCGCATTATCGGATTTGAAAAGAAAGGGACTTCTACCAATCCATTATCGGATTGGAGGGTCTTGTTTCAATATTATAAGCTCACTATGTTGCTCATAAGAAAATGGGATCAAATTATATGATTATCAATGTTTAATTAATTTAAAAATGAAGATTAGCTTTATAACAATTTGAATTATCAAATTAGACTCAGGATAAAATCACATTCCCCCAATTAAACCCTTCATCCAATAATCAAATAATGACCTTGATTTATTGTAAATATGTTGGGATCATACGAAGAAAGAACGAAATCAGAAAACAGACATGCTCGACAAATATTTAAATATGTACTTGTTATTATGGGCATAACAAGCCATCCTTTGAAAATAAATTTTGCGTGCGTAAAAGCTTAGGTGGTGTTTGGCAAGTTTTTGATTTGGGTTTTTTTTTTTTTTTTTTTTCTCACTAAAAGACAAAGTTTTTGTAAAATTAAAAAAAAATAAATCCAAACAAAATATCACATCTAACTCCATAATCATTAGTTTTTCTCTCACAAACATCACATCCAATAATAAAAAAAATCCAACTATCTTATCAAATACCAAAATTTTTTTCTCTAATAATATCTTATAATTAAAAATACTTACATAAAAACCTATTTCCCAAATACCCACGTAGTGAAATCAGTAAAGTTTCATAATGCACAAAAGTCAAATAAGCACGCTTACAGTAAATATTTGAATATTTGCATGTTATTATAGGTCTAACCATTTATTTTTTCAAATACAATTATTGCATGCGTAAAAAAATTAATGAAAACAATAAATCTGCACCATACTGGTTCATCAAAAGTTGATACTGTCCATAAATACCCTTTTATGGGTTTTTAATTTCAAAAATGCTAGAGACTCCAAATATTCTACCAAAAGTTTTACCAAATGTCTCACATGGGTGTGGGACATTTGGTAAAACTTTTGGTAGAATATTTAGGGTCTCTAGCATTACTCTTTTAATTTAGGGCTGATTTGGCAACCTTAAAAAAAATTAAAAAGTTAAAAAATTACAAAAAAAATTAAAAAGTTATCACTATTCACAAAAAAATATTAAAAAATTAATATATACAAATCAAAAGGTTGGCCCAAATGATGGTACTGACGTGATGAGTTCAGTTAGTGATAGAGAAAAAAAAATTACAGTAGAATATTCACTAAATCTTAATAGTAAAGTTGGGCCCGTGGGAGCCCACAATGGGTCCTGTTTTGATAATCTGAACCGTTTAATATGTAGAACTCGTCTAGTACTATATGCGTGTAAAAAATTACGTCTATTGAATATCGCTAACTACATTATCAAATCAGTTTTGTATAAAAATGGATGGTGTTATAGTTAACACTTAACAAAAAAAAACTAACACGATCAGATAGCTATCGATATCCAATCAACGTGATTTTTTACAAACATATAGTACTCGACGAGTTTTACATATTGAATAGTTTCGATTAGAAAAACGGGACCCGTGGTGGGCCCCCATAGGCCAAACAACACCATCCAATCAAAGCTCGAGGAGGAGACAATATTTCCTCATCTGCTCACCCAACCGGCTCCTCTGCCAATCCGTACAGCCTCCCACATCTTCTCCTACACACTTATTTATACAATTTTTTAATACACATTTTTTCATAAAAAGTCAAAAAGTTAACCCAAACGTCAATATTTTTTTCTCAACTTTTTAGTTCAAAAAGACAAAAAGTACACTTATTTAGGACACCCCAAACATTTCAGTAATGATTCAGATCCCCACAAAATATCACCCCTACAACCCACGCTCACTTGTAATTGGTCTAAGCAAGAAAGAGAAAGAAAAAAAAATAATAATAAAAACACATCATTAATCTACATCACTGTAAGAGTGGTAAAAACTCCCCAAAAAGAAGTCCCAAACATTTTCTATTAATTTTATCTCCATCATATATATACATAGTTGTTCTTTCAACTAAGCGCACTCTAATTACTATCTAAAAAAAAGAAAAAACTAAGCGCACTCTGACAATATATCAAGTTTGTAGCTCTTTTTTTTTTCCATTTTTTTCTATGAAATGAAAAGTCTTTTGTGTCTTTTATTTTTATTTTCTTCTTTCATCCAATCTATTGTCTTCCTATTTCCCTTTTTTGTCTCTGTATAATCCATTTGTTCAAAAATTTTGCAACTTCTTACATGTACAACTTCTTACCTCTTCATTTTTGCACTTGTTCCTTTTTTAATGTAGATCTGGACATGTTAGAGTGGGAGAAACATATGTCCAAAATATATTTTGGCTACAATGGGATATGAAAGGTAGTTCCCCATCTGCTTCAATATTTTTTTTTTTATATCAAAACTAATTATCAGCTTGGTTGCCGAAAAATCAGCATAAAACATTTATATTATAAGGATCATGAAGTATGCGTGAAAACCTTACAATGGCATACTTTAAAAGCTTTTCATATGTGTCAATCTAAATATTTGTCGCATAGAACAATATAATGCTCCAGCATCATCTTACGTCATACATTTGCGTACCTTTTATCTTACATTACTAGACAAAACTAGACATAAGCAGCGGCTTAAGAGGAATACTTGCAACAAAAAGCAACCTAAAGACTTTTTCATACATACTATTTAGATTAAACGATCTTAAAAACTTTCAAATAGTAAAACAGAAAAGATTAAATGCCATTTCTCAGCATGCCAGAGCAGCCACTCATGAAGAGAGGGGTTTAAATCAGCAAAACTTCAAAGCAGCTTGTAGCTCCTTCTCATCAGCACAATTATATCCCAACAGATAAGCCCGTGCTGCAACACACACACACACACACATACAAGATGAATAAAAAGTTTTGGGAATCAATAAACATGATGCAGCGGCGAAGTAGGAGATTTACCAAAACGGCCAGACCCCATGAATGGTTCTGCGTCATCTGAAACACCACCTTGCTGCTGTTCCTGGATTTTCAGAAAAGAGAGAAGATTTTTGAGTATCAAATCCAAAAACGATACACGAAGCCACCTATCTCCTGCTTAACAAAAAAGCAATCAAATGGGCAGACTTGGTGACATGCTAATACCCCGTTTGTTTTGGCGGAAAATATTTTTTTACGAAAATCTTTGTTTCAGAAGATCTTTTCCAAATATGTTTGGTTGCATCCTGTTGAAACTAATGTACTAATGGTTGTATAAGTAGTGGCGGTGGCGGTGGCAGTGGTGAAGGTGATGGTAGTATTAGTAAGACTTTAATCCGGAAAATATTTTTCACATTTTAGAAGTGGACAACATTTTCCACCCAAACAAACGGAGCATAAATAAGAAAGTACAGTCCCCGCTATGATGATGAACAATAATAACAGCCAGCTAAAATGCTCGATAGAGTAACTAGCAGTCAATTTATCATTTTATCAAACAAAATACCCCAAAGAAGCATAAAATTACAGCAACAGAAGAGCTTCTTATCCTCTTTCTGAACATGTCTCCAGAACTTCGTTCACAGAACATTCAGATAGTATCTACTCACAAGTCTTCCAACGTTCTCCTAAATTCAGATCTATGTCAAATGAAAGCTTCAAAAAATATGGAATACTCCCAGGAGACGCAACAAAACATGGGTAGGCATGGAATATGCACATGATGTATCTATGTCGAGACATATTCACTATTTCAGAGATTAACTTTAAATTTTACATCTCAAGGAACAATGAGTAAGTCACTAGAATATGGCACTAGTTTCAATATTAACATATTTTTGGCTACTCTAAATATACATTCGTCAGATATATAACATGCACTTAATACATATATCAATTTGAAACACATGCATATATGATTAACCAAATGAAAAGGATTACACTATGAAGAGATGGTGGTCCAACAATCATAAGTTAATATATGTATTGTGAAGTATACGAGCCAACAGCATCACATGATAGCCATAGACATGCACAGTGAAGGTCTAGCTCTTCTTTTTTCATTTTTCATATTTTTAACAGGTCTAAGTGTGTTTTATGACAAAAAGCCAAAAGTGTAAGCTAGAGGAGATCTCTCTTACAGTGTCTGGTTCCATTTCAGCTGGTGACAGCAATCTATCAAAACAATGTCCAGATATTGTACAAACCAAAAGCTCATTTGTAGGGTCCAAAACAGCTTCTCTACATGTATCATCACAAACTGCATGAACAAAGAACATAAACCATTAATAAAAATCTATGTAATTGTACCTATTAAACAAACAAACAAGGTTGCCACATTCAATAACCACAACTAGTGTTTCATACCATGAACCTGGCCAGTCTTCTCACAAACAAATACATCTCCAATTTGATAGTAAGTACATGTTTCTCCAGAGCAATCATGGTCCAAGACCACCTTATCAGTCAGGCCTCTGCTGCTTTTCCATATAGACACTTGATCAGTAAGAGTCTTGTCAAGAATAATCCGGTCATCATTCACCTTCAGATATATAAAGAGAGAGGGGGAAAAAAAGGAATAAATAGTAATTAAGGAAATGCATTTGCTAATTTTCATTGAGACTCATTTGAAGAAGTCAATCCCTATGCATGGTTCATCCACTATGGCAAGTACAAAGAAAAAATAATGTAAGCAAACCTCCAATAAGCTTTCAACATAATTCATCTGAGAGAGAGAGAGAGAGAATTGGAGAGTTGTTTGGGGAGGTGGGGGATAAGAAAGAATGCGACATGTCTGCGGTTATCAAACTATCATTAATAAATATTTTCAAGGAGTCCAATATCCAAAATCCTATACGCCCACCCTCCCACCACCAAACAGGGGAAAAAGGGGGATTCATGCATTAGCAAGTTATGGATTAGATTCCATGGCCTATTGATTTGTACAAAGTTTACAAGAAAGAATGAAAGACAGTGATTCCCCAAATACCCTATTTAAATCTTAGAAGGCAAAAGTTTCAGCCCAATGGCTACCCCTGTTTACCTGAGAAGGAAGAGGTGTTTGGCTTCTCTTTGCTGCCTGCATTTGGACATAATACTCTTTGAACTCAGAGGGGCAATTCCTAACAAATTCAGCCATGTCCTCTTCATCACGCTGCAAGAAGAAAGTAATTCTTCTAAACCAAATTTTAAACTTAATCTAGCTTTATCAATAGGGGCAATTGCAATAAAATGATATAAACTCAAAATAATAGCAAAGAGGTGGAAACACAAGATTTAGTTGCATAATCTAACGCATGAATTGTTTGTACTTATGTGACATTGCAATTATTTTGAGTTGATACCATTTTCTTGCAATTCCCCCTCATCAATAAGCATCCAATGTGTCAATTACAAGAGGATAAAATCATCCAATGAATATCATAGAAGAGATGCAATACAGGAGCTCTGAGTAAGCTCAAAGAGACAAGTTTCTTTAAAGTCAATAACTAATCTTCCTCTCACTTGATAAATTAGAAGAAAAAGAATGAAGAAGGGCCTGGGTATAAAAAATCAATGTCTTATATGGATTTTGATATGCTCACCAAAAAGTTGTAAGTCGAACCTATATATACCTGGATGTAAAGCTTTTTCCAAGCACATTCCCGCAATTTTTTTGTAGGGGGTAGCAGACCCCAACGCATACAGTACCTACAAAAAATTTACGAACGCATTATAGATACGAATGCAAGTCTCTGTTAAATTAATTAGCAACAATAGCTCTATCACCAATTTCAACATTGTTTAATACCCTCAAAGGTGGAAATTTACTAAAGGCAACATTTTCTCCTCCAACCTCAAAAAAGGATGGTACTAAGCATTGACAATAGCACAGCTAAGTTAATATGAAAGAATAGATCACCTACTGCAATATGAAACAATATTTACTTTACAAACTAGGTGATATCAACTAGATAACCATGTAAAAAACACATGCAACTTCTTTTTACGGCAAGTCAAATACAAATGCAACTCCACTAGGAACAAAACTAACATTGAGATTCCAATTGATACAACTAAGTCATTCAAGATGACCCCGCAGGAAGTTTCCCCAAAGAAATTAATAAAATAAGAAAGAAAGAAAAATATTCCTGCAGAAAATTCAGCGGTGTCCCACCTATAGCAATATACCAACCACAAGGGGATCAACCCAAACCACATACATGGAGCTCTTAAACCTAATTATTTTTTTTTATTTTTTATTTTCTAAATCCAACATTAAACAACTGGTGTACAAATAAACTTTATATACCAAACTACGTTCAAGCATAACACGCTTTTGTTAAAAAAATATAAAAACAAAAAAAAAAATGATTCATATAATTTTCTATGTTAATTAAAAAACGTAACTAGCAATCACGCTTTTACAAGACGTAATTAAAAATGACATTTTTTTAACGTGGTTTGAAAAAATAAGTTTATTCCTTGATGTTTAAAATTTAAAAAAAAAAAATATATATATATATATATATGATTATGTCAAAAGGTTCAAGAGGATAGGATTCATAAACATTTTTAGGCCATGTTTGTTTGGGTGGACATAAGCTTAGGATTGGACTAATAGTCCAATAAAATTATTAATCCGATGTTTGATTAAACAATTGAAGTACGGATTAACTATTTTAAACTTGACTATTAGTTAAGATAGGATACATAATCCATCGGATTCGTAGTCTTAGGACTATTAGTCATGGGAATGCTAATCCAGTCCGTCCAAAAAACATGGCCTAAAAGACATTACTCACAGGCGACGCCATAAGCACTCATCTGAAGCTACAAAATTGAGTAATCTACAAACCAGTGAGCAAGAAATAAGATCCTGCAAAATATCAACAATTCTTGAGAAATTTCGATGCTTCCACCCAAATTACAGAGAGATTAACATAAAAAGTTCAATCCTGCGTACATACATAATCACAGAGATACACACATAAGTATGCTTATACAGAGAGAGAGAGAATACCTCGGAGGAGAGAAATTTGAGGATGTGATGGAAGAGTTCAAGAGGGATCTTGCTGAAGAACTCCGTCTCTACTCGCAACCTCTTTGGTTCTCGCTCCTCCTCCGTCTCCACCGCCTCCACTGCCTTCGTCTCTTCCTGCAACCAAGTCTCACAAACCAGTAAACAAATCAAAATTGACCTAATAATCAAAATTGAACTCGAAGATTAGAGGACAAATTGGTAAACCTGATCGGAGACCTCGGAGAGGACTTCGGATTCGAGGTAATAGGCGAGACTTTCGTCTTCGTCTTCCGAAACAGTCATTGTAGGCACAGATCTCAGACAACAAAGCTCGATAAATCGAGATTGTGATGAGGGTTTTGATCGGCCTGGAATTGATGCCGGTGATCGGAATTGTACGCCGGCCGGTTTTGCAATCGAGAGTCGAAGAGACAGGAGGGATGGGTGATAAAGCGGAGAGAGATTGGGTTGGCCCGGATGAAGCATGTGTCGGGTCGGGTGGGTCCATCGCTTTCGGGAATTGGGTCCACCTGTTGTGCGATTCTTAAGAAAAGTGAACAATATCGATCTGAATGAATAGCATCACGAGGGGCTTTTTCCCAAAATAACTCAAAAAAATTTATTTACAAATCAACTTAAAATTATTTTTTGAATTTATTTAAAAAAATTAATTGAAAAAAAATTTTATTAGTAAAATTTTTTGAATTTTTGTTTAAAAATCAACGTAAATTTATTTTTTGAATTTACGTTTTTTTCTTAAATTTATACATTGAGATAATTATTTATAAACTAAAAAAATTATCAAACAAGTTTTATGATAGTTTTTAAAATTTTTGTAAATATAAATTGATAACTGAAAATGAAATGTGACAATTTTTAGAATTTTTATGGCTTATCAAATAACACTGAAAACAAGTTTTTATGACTTATCAAAAGATTTTTAGGCTATGTACGGTTTGATTTTTAGATTTTTTTTTTTAAAATTAAAAATTAAAAATTATAATTAGAAGTTAAAAACATTTATTTCTTAATTTTTCAATAAAGATTCTAGAATTTAACTGTAAAAAATAATTATCATTTTAACTTTTGGACATGTTATATGCATACATATAGTTGTTTCAATTTAATTTTTAAAAAATTATTTCTAATCACTTGAAAGATAAAAATTATATAAAAATGATTTATATTTACAAAAATTATATAGTTGATTATTATTGCTATTATAAATTATTATTATATATATTTAATTATTATTATATATAAAAATTATATTGTTTCAATTATATAGTTGATGTGCGTGAGTGTTGTGGGTGTGTATGGGTGTGTGTGTCAGAGTGTGGGTTGGTTTGTATTGAAAACGTGTTTTGAAAACACGTTTTTACATTTCAACAGTAAAAGCGTGGTTCGCAACCATGTTTTCTGGAAAAATATAAATTTTACTTAAAAGCATGGTTTGTAACCATGCTTTTATGATTTTACAAATTTTTTGCGAGAGGGCCACAAAAACGGTGAAAGCGTGGTTTGTAACCACGTTTTAGCTTATTTTGGGAAATTCGTCAAAACTAGGCCTAATTTGGAAAATAACTTAGTATTTTGGCTTATTTTGGGAAAAGCCCCTTTAAAGTTGGTTCTCCTGACTGATGTCTTGTGCTATCTGCTGTTGTACAGACCACTTGCTTGATGGTTGGTTATGTTGTTTAATAATATGCCATAACTTTCACTTTAAAAAAAAAATAAAAAATAAAAAAAAAATCTAGCATTTTAACCGTGGTATGTATGGGTGTTTTAAAATTTAATTTTATATAAATGTTGATTTTTTTAATTTTTTTTATTTTTTATGTAGCTTTAGGGAGAGGATTCCCTCCAATTCAAATTTGAATTGAAGAGGCATTGTTCGAGCTAGTGCTGTGGGATACAATACATGTCCTATTTTAATGATTTGTATAATATTTTTTAGATATATAACACAAAGTAATTTTACATAATATGTTTTATATATATAACCACTAATTTGTAATAAATTTCATATATTAAATCTCTCTCACACTCATTTTTATATTGATATTTTATTAGAAATTAAAAAATATGTATGTATTGTAGAGGGTCAGAAATTAAACTCCAAATTAAGTATGGTCCCAAGTGCTGAGGTCGCCCTTCTGAGACGACTGGAAATGAAAAAAGAGCATGGGCCAAAGCCCAAGGGAAGTGGGCCAACAGTAGGTTGAAGCAGGTACGACCCGCCAAGGGTCCAAAAGGACTCCACGAAGGAAAATGCCTAAGTCAAGTTGCAGAAGCAACACATGCGACAGTAAAGTTGCAGAAGGAACACTTGCAGTAGTCAAATTGGTGAGGCACTTTGCCTCAGTGCCGTCATTCCCCAATAATGTCGATTCAGCTGCCATCTAAAGTTACTGAGAGAAAGAGAAAGCTGAAGCAACTAAGTTGCGGAGGCACATTATCTCAGCGCCTCCATTCCAAGTATTGTCGGTGCCACTGCTATTCCAAGTATTGTTGGTTCCGCCGCCGCTTGGAGTTGCTGAGGGAATGAGATAACCGAAGCAATTAAGTTGCAGAGGCATTACTTGCAGCGGTCAAGTTACAGAGGCACTTTGTCGGTGCCGCCATCTCCAATATTGGCGGTTTTGCCATTTGAACTTGCCACGGGAAATGATTGCTGCAACAACTACAGTCGCCGCAACCAACTTGCGGAGGGAACATCTTGCCAAGGTGATTGCAGCGCAAGTAGAGGCTAATGCTTGGTGCTGATAGTAGGCCCCAAGATTTACTAGTTGGAGTTGATAGTAGGCCCAGAAATACCAGTTTGCCGCAGCAACCCCGCGAAGATGGGAGCAGGGCAGCCCGAGCGCAAGGGACTCCCTTTTCATTTACCCAGGTCATGAACCTACGAGCCCAGGTCACGAACCTGCCTTAGTCGCACAGGTAGGACTAAGGAAGCCTCTTTGGGCTTGGTACTAAGGCACAGCATGACTGACAGCAGGCTTGGTTATGGCTGTCGTCCTGGAAAACTGGGGAGTTTGTGGTTAAGCGACTAAGGGTGAAAGCTTCACTAAGGTAAGCATGAACATAATCGATAGCAGACTAATGGAGTCCTGAGAATGCATGTACTAGCCAAGTAAAATTGAGAATGCAAGTGCAGCAGCAAGGTTTATCGCTGCAAGTGTACTTGCTGAGGTTCGAGCTAAGAAAGCAAGTGGAGCGACAAACACTCCCATCGCAACTGCACTTGCTAAGACTCAAAAAGTTGTAGCGCCAAACACTCCCGTCGCAACTACACTTGCTGAGGCTCAAAAAAGGTAGTTGCAGAGGCAAACAGATAGTACACAATACATGTAGAAGGACACGTGACACCTTCAGCTTGGTGGCTCAAGACAGAATATTTCATGTGGTCCTCTGGGACACATGTCCTCTCTCGATTTGGCCACTTGGTATCCTCTTGGTACCAAGAAAAAGTCTATAAATAGGACCCATTTCCCAAGGTTCAAGAAGAAGAATTTTAAGGATTTTGGGGAGATGCTGCCCATTTTGGCACTGCTATACATTTCTTCTTGAGTTACTTGCTTCACCCTCACCCAGCTACTCACTCTCCAACCCCCCAGACAATTGTTGCTGCTCATCCTCCAGTCATTTCACCATTGTTAGATCATTATCATAGTTTTGCCTCTCTAATCACCTTCCTAACCTTGAACCCCTTACATTTCTGGCGACTCTGCTGGAAAGGCTACTTTGTTGATGGTTCATACCTGCAATAGCTTACACACTTCGCTGGAAAAAATGGTAGATGATGAAGTTCAGCACCCCTCACGACAACAAGATTCTTCCAATGGCATAGCAGCACCTGTTGAAGACCATGACCACAGTGTTGCGGTTGAGGCGGTCCAGTCACTCCAGGATACGCAGAAGGAGATCCTAGCAGCTTTGCAAACTCTCACTGAGGCTATTATGGCCATGGTGCCATGACCTGATCCCGCCCCAAAGGATTAAGGTCATAACCGGCCAATAATCATAAGATTATCTACGGCCTCAAACAATTTCAGAAATATTAAAGGGGCCAAAATGGAAGCAGATTTAAAAACTCTGTCTAATGAGCTGTGCTTACATGGTATGGCATAAATTATTCCAAAGGTATTTCATAATAACTCACACATATAAATAGAGTTAACATCTTATAAACATCCAGGAACTTTCAGCTATGTAGTCAGCCAAACAAAAACTCATATACATAAGTGATCCAACGTGTTCACTAAAATAGCAAAAGAATAACAAAAGAACAAAAGGGACAAAAACAAAGTCTCGTGCGTGAGACATTCAGGCTGACTCCTCAAAAACTTGACTTCCTCTCATAGTCTTCACCAAGGCTGGGTTTAGATGTTTCTTTGCTCACCTACATACACATGAATGAAAATGAGCGAAAGCCCAGTGGATAATATCAAATAAGGAAGTTACATGAATAAAAACTTGTTAACAAACATATCAAACGACCTTAGGCCTATTCATGTTTCTATCTAATACATCAAACGGCTTTAGGCCCAAATGTATCAAACGGCCTTGAGCCTAATTCATTCTTATCAAATGGCCTTAGGCCCAATTCACTCGTGTCAAACGGCCTTAGCCTAATCATTCATGTCAAACGGCATTTGGCCCAATTATTTATATCAAACGGCCTTTGGTCCAATCATTTCTAGCAAACGACCTTTGGCCCAATCATTTCTAGCAAATGGCCTTTGGCCCAATCATTCATGTCAAACGGTCTTTGGCCCAATTATTCATGTCAAACGGCCTTTGGCCCAATCATTTCTAGCAAACAGCCTTTGGCTCAATCATTCATGTCAAACGACCTTTGGCCTAATGTAGACACCCTATTTTTGACCGACCTCAAGACTTGGATGTCATCGTTTGTGCACTCGATGATTGTGCTTGTTTTGAGCGCCCGAAGTTCACGGTGAAATGCCTTGTCTTTGAGCCTCTAAACCCATTTTGTTTTGTGCTTGTTTTTGTGCCAAAACTTGTTGCCTCTTGCCTGGAAGGGGGAGGGGCCTTCTCGGCCATTTTTTGTTTTTGTCAACCACTTGAAGTGGCCGACGGCCACTTAAAGTGGCCAACGACCATTTGTCTCTTTTTTCAGATATTTATTTGCCAACTGTTGTTCATTGAAGTGCATCTCATACACGTGCATGGAGGGATGAATACAAGCTCTAAGCTTGTTTTTCTATATATAGGGGATGCTCTCCCCCATTTGGGGACGTTGGACATCTTGGATCAAAATTTCCTTTCTCTCTCTAGAATTCTCTCTCTCTCTCTTCTTATTTTGTACCTTATAGTTAGATTTCTCTACACTTTTGTACAAGGACCCTTAACCAAACATTCTCACCTTGGAGCTGAGGTTCTTTGAGGTTTAGGTTGAGCTCTTGAGGGACGTTTGAGCTGGAATTTGTGCCTGTTTTGTGCTGTGCTTCAAGAGGTATAAGACTTACCTT